ATATACAATAATATATATAATATATATGTGTGTATATATATATATGTAGTATATATATATATATATATATATAGGTGGGTGTGTGTGTGTGTTTTTGTGTGTGGTGTGTGTGTATGTGTGTGTGTGTATGAATGTTGGTGAGTTTGCATTCATGTACATTCTTACATTTCGTGCATATGAGTTATCACGATTCTTGTATATAAGTGCTGTCATCGACTCCAGTCGAACTTGACAATCGTCATACATCCTTATGAACACGAGTTTGCGAGCAACTCATATTCAAAAATAGATCGGTAATGTAGACATTCCAAAATGACGGTGTGCTATAATTATCTATATTTACTGCGTTGCTTACCAATATCGTTTGGCTTCGAAACTGGCTTGCACTAATCAAGCTTAATTATAAACTCATCTGAGTGAGGAGATGAATTTCTAGGCAAGTCATTGATCCCTGTAGTTTCAGCAGTGACCAACTGCAACTCGATCGATCGATGAGTATTAGTGTTATGTGAGATAACTTTGCCATCCGTCAGTACGTAGTGGGTCAGTTCGCTATCGGATTACCTAACGCATGGATCAGCCACACGTGCGCAACTCCCTGGAACGCTAAACACACGGCCAGACACACTTCGCATCCTATCTTATGATGCATCCCCGATCGGTTTGGGCATATGTATACACCCCGTATGCTGGTATTGGGCATACTAATCAACAGGACAACTTATCATACGTTATTCTACTACTATACGCTACCCGGCACTAAGCCGATATACTACTTATTCAGCAGCGCAAACCACTTCTCAAAACTCGCCATGTACAGACCAACCGTTCGCTCGACCGCCTGTTTAGTCAACTGCACGTCCTTCGTCATGGCGCTCAAAGCCACATCCGGACTCACCCATCCCTGGCATTTCAAGGCGTCAGCCGCTTCGAACAAGTCCACAAAGGCGGCGAATTTGCCGGTGGCACCACACAGCGTGAAACGAGGTACATAGTGTACATACGCCATGATACGCACGTGCAAGCTCGACGACAGCACGAGCGTAGCACGTGATATCAGCGCAATGGCACTCCACACATTCTCCTCACGGAAGACGATGGGGTTGGTAGACATGAGCATGGCTATGGAGTCGTAGTACGCCATGGAGTCATGGTTGGGGGCTGTCCCCGCACAGAACATGACCACCGGCATCTTGGCCTTCTTGGAGACCTTATCCAGCCATGCGGCAAAATACTCGGCTGGCGACTGCTTGTTCCTCATTTGGAATGCGATGTACTTGCCCTTTGTCGTCGCTAGGACTTCCGCCACTTGGCCGGTGGTGGTGTATGCAGTCACTTCGTCCGCAAGCAACGCATTGACCATCACCGCCGAATCCGGCACATTCACAATCCCGGTTATACCTGACCTGCCGCCTATGAGAGCCGCGTCTCTGGTGGCTTTGTAATCTGCGGACGCTACGGCCTTGCGACAGTAAGGGCCTATTTGCCCTGCCGCAGCCCCCACTGAGTTCATGATAGACACTGGGTGTACATTTGGATCGGCCCACCCCGGTGGCAGCAAGTGCGATTTCTCAAACAAGTACGCGCACTTACCTAGCTGATCATTGAGCAACTGCTGTCGACTAGACGCTGGAAACCCTAACATGGACACACCACACGAAGCATCGCAGTTCAGTGATTCACCGCCTAAGTATATCAGGTCAAACGGCCCCTGTTTGGTCTGCGTCTGATTGCGAGAGAGTGCCACCACGTGTCTTGTAGAGAGTATACTGGGCTCTCCCCCGTAGGCAGTCATATCCTTGTCTATCATCCCCGTCATCACTAGTTCGTCAGCCAGATAACCCTTATCCATCAATAGGCGCTTAACCACCTTGGTGAAGATCAAATCTCCGAAATTGAAACGATCATGAGGTCCAAACATGGCCACCCTCCGTCTCCCCTGATACTCGGATAAATAGTTCGGTACTCTGGAATCGAGATCCCTAAGATCCGTATTACCCAACTTATTAAGGGGTATCCCTCCAACTACAAAGAGCGTCGCAAGTATCACGATGGCAACAGTTATTATTGTCTTCGCGTTCCCAATTTTGGTTAAAACCAAAGACACCGATTTCTGCGACTCGGCTGCGGCAAGTTTGCTGAGGTTTTTGTCCAAAGCATACTGTGTGGCTCCCACAAGGGCAATCATCACCCCTGCAAACAGATACGAAACGATTAACTTTTTCTACTCGACACAGCGAAGTGAACTCTTTTCATACACAGCGTTATACTAAGTCTGGTTCGTGTAGTATTCAAAGACTGCCTTGTTAGCACGAACAGCTGCTCAGTTATAACCAGATACAAGGTCATAAATTA